CAGGGAATAATTGTACACCTATCTCATCACAATTGCATGTGCAAAAGAGACAAAGAAGAATTGATCTATCTTTTGTAACACGTGTAATACTTTTTTATGAAGATAATATTAGTTTGATGTAAATGTGTTTAAACCAGGATCAATTTAGAGGAGATATCATGAGCGGCTTAGAGGAATTTGTTATGAGAGGTGATACTAAATCCGTAGCCTCTGGCTAACGAATTATCCTGCCATCTTCTTTCACTGGCAGAATAATATATATGTTTAAAAACTGTCAAGATGCAATGATGATTTGTAGAAGATATTGTTATCCAGACTTATTCATTACTATAACATGCAATCCGCAATGTAGAGAGATTGCAAGGTTTATGAGAAGAACCAAATCTAAAGCTGAAGACAGACCAGACATCAAATCTAGAGTCTTTAAAATAAAACTTGATGAATTGGAGGACTTAAAAAATAGACATATATTGGGTGAAGTAATTAGAGGTAATTTTTTAAACTTTAGTATTTTAGTTCCATTTAAATAAAAAAGTAGTTGTGTGTTGGACGTTAAATATTAATGTAACTTTAGTTTCTTTAAATGTTTTTTTCAGGTTTGTACACTATTGAGTTTCAAAAAAGAGGTTTGCCTCATGCACATGTCTTGATATAGTTACAAGCGAAGGATAAACTCTAAACGCCCGAGTCACGTGTCATATGTGCAGAGTTGCCAAATAAAGACAAATGCCCTAGATTGTATGACTCGGTGACTCGATTGATGATGCATGGTCCATGTGGTGTAGATTATCCTAGATCTCCATGTATGGATGAGGGTAGATGCAAGAAATTTTTTCCCAAAATTTTTTTTGAGAAGACAACATTTGATGATAATGGTTACTCGATATATAGAAGAAAAAAATACAAGGGTCACTACCATGATAAAAAACATCGAGTTGGATAATCGATTTGTTGTTCCATATAACACAAAACTCTTGATGAGATATCACGCTCACATCAATATTGAATATTGCAACAAATCTAATTCAATCAAATATCTTTTTAAATATGTCAATAAAGGTCTAGACAGAGTAACCGTTGGAGTTACGCAATCTAAGAGTGACGTTATAGATGGTGCGGTGTATGGTGAAACTGAGAAGTACTACGACTGCCGTTCTTTGTCTGCATGTGAAGCCTCTTGGAGAATTCTAGCTTTTGATATTCACCATAGGTGGCCAACTGTTTTGACTAACTTAAAGGTAGAGTATCCCGTCTTTAAACAGTGGAAAGCTCTGTTTCTTTTTGAATTTTTCCAATAGGTTGTTTTAATACTGTTTGGAAGTTAAAAACTTCGAACCTAGTATGCCAATACGCAATACACTACAGGAGATAATTTGATGTATGCTGAATTCCCTGGATATTTTGTGTATAACAACAAGGAGCGGAATTGGTTCCCGAGGCAACAAAGACCCTCAATAGGCCGCTTGCAATATGTGCCAACAGGAACTGGAGAGTTATGCTATTTGAGAATACTTTTAATGGTTCAACGAGGATATAAAAGCTATCAGAACTTGAGGACGGTTAACAATGTTATACATAGCTCTTTCCAAGAAGCATGCGAAGCATTGGGGTTATTAGCCGATGATAAAAAACTCATTGAGGGAATAAAATAGGCTGCTGAGCTAGGATCTGGAAGTCAATTAAGAAATTTATTTGTCACATTGTTAGTGACAAATACCATGATCCGTCCTCATGTTGTTTGGGAAAAAACACGGGAGCTCTTAGTTGATGGAATTTTATTTGATTGAAGAAGAATATTGCGCAATCAAGGTATTTTTATAAAAAATTATTCTTTATTATTTATATAAACATTAATATGAAATGAATGGTATTTATACAAAACTCTAGAATTGACATCTTTGTCGAAATAATTTATTCTAATATTAACTTTTTTTGCAGAACTTCTTCTCCCCATAAGATTTAAATCATTTGTGCTTGATTGAGATTGAAAAGTTACTTAATTCAAACTGACAATCCTTAAAAGAGTTTGGTGGTATGCCATTTCCAGATGACAACCCACTTAATAGATTTCAAAATAACTTCTTGGTAGAGGAGTTGAACTATGATATAGAAAAATTGTCATATGATCTTAGACAATATTTATCTACTATAAACGAAGACCAGAATAAGATATACGACGATATAATGGAAGTCGTGGCAGCTAAAAAGGAGGTTTCTTTTTAGTGTATGGTTATGGGGGAACCGGAAAGACCTTCCTCTAGAAATCATTATTCGCTTCTCTTAGATCAAAAGGAAAGGTTGTTCTGAATGTTGCATCCAGTGGGATTGCAACATTGTTATTGCATGGTGGAAGGATTGCACACTCTAGATTCTCAATCCCATTGGCGCTAACTGAGTGCTCAACATGTGCCATCAAACAAGGGAACCCGAAAGTTGAATTGATCCAACAAGCAAGTTTGATAATATGGGATGAATCATGCATGATGAATAGATTTTCCTTTGAGGCTTTGGATCACACAATGAGAGATATCATGAGGTTCTCTAATGCTAACTACATAAATGAACCATTTCGAGGGAAAACAGTTATATTCGGAGGTGACATTCGACATATCCTTCCAGTTTTACCTAGAGCTTCGAGAGATGAAATTGTAGGTTCTACGGTTAATTCCTTAAATTTGTGGTCGTACTGTAAAGTTTATACGTTTACCAGGAATATGAGACTGCATTCATCCACGTCTTCTTGCACAAATAGGGACACACAAACTTTTTTTGATTGGATAATCAAAATGGGTGATGGAAAGCTAGGTCAGGTGATGGATGGAATTGGTGAGGTTGAGATTCCGCCTGAATTCTTAATTCTCGATACAAGTTCTCCTATGAAGAGTATAATGGACTTCACTTATCCGAATATATTAGAGAATATGAAAAATTATTCTTTTTTTGAGGATAGAGCCCTATTGGCACCAACTCTCGGAGTAGTTGAAATGATAAATGAATTTGTTCTGTCCCTCATTCCTGGTGATGAAAAGGAGTACTTGAGTTCTGATTCTTCGTGCCAAGAAGAAGCAAATGTAGGTGTTGATGGCGATTGGATAACAGTTGAGTTTTTGAACAAAATCAAATGTTCGGGAATCCCAAACTGCAAAATGGTCTTGAAAAAGGGTTACCTATTATGCTATTGAGGAACATTGACCAAAGATCTAGATTGTGTGATGGGACAAGATTAATCGTTCAAGAGCTGCGAAATAATGATATCGGTGCAATTGTGGTTTCGGGAAATCGAGTCGGGGAAAAAGTTTACATCCCTAGAATGAATTTGGTACCATCTGATTAAGGGCTATCCTTGAAGTTCCAAAGAAGACAATTCCCGACCGCCTTATGTTTTTCTATGACTATCGACAAAAGTCAAGGTCAAACATTGTCATTTGTGGGATTAGTTTTAACCAAGTTAGTGTTCACACAGGGTCAACTATATGTTGTTGTTTCACGAGTGAAGACAAAACCAAGATTAAAAATATTAGTTCTAGATGACAATGGAAACCCTTACAACCATACCAAAAATGTTGTATACCCTGAAGTCTTTTAGAAAATTTAGTATTAAAATAAATATTGTTAACTCTACATTCTGTTCCTCAAATATTATTTATTTTACATTGGCTTTTTTCAGTTGTAGTATTAAAAATTATGTGAGCAATATATTTTCTTTATTCCGAAAAATAAATTTCATTGAAATGATTCAGAATCGACATAAATTTCTTTCGACCTCGTGCATGGCACGGGTCAGAATACTAGTATTTTATAATAAATCACTTTTAAAAGTGTATAAAATATTAATTTGAGAATAAAATAGTACTTTGTATATTCTTTTTGAATAACTTTGTATCATACAAAGAGTGTTTTTTTAAAGAATTTTTACAAATATATATAGTAGTTTGAACGGGAAGTCCATGCAATACGATTTTGTACATACCTCGAGTTCAAGAGAGAAAGTGAAACGGGGTTGTCGAAGACTAGTAAGGATCCGAGACTTTAGAGGTGTTATCGACCGAAGAACAAAAAAAATAGCAAAAAGTGTCTAAATAACTTGAAGAACACTTTAAAAAAAACGCGGAATTTTCGGGAGAGTTTTCTTATCTTAAACGGGCTCTAAACGAACTCTTGTTGGCTCTAACTTCCTCTAGTCTTTTGGGAAAAGATTTGGTAGTGTATTGGGAGTAAAATAACTTAATATTTTTATGGATATATAGAGTATATATCAACAAGAGCACCAATTGATACAAATGTCGTATTGGATAGGGAAGAACTTCGAGTGTCTTCGGGCTCCAAGAAAGGGGAGGCAAAGAGAGAAGAAAAACTTCGAGCGTTTCCGAGCTCCAAGAAAAGAGAGACGAGAGACTAAGGGAATTCTTGATTATTGATTGATTGAATGATAATTATACAGGATTACAATATATAGAGATGAGACGCCACACCTACATGACCTAATGGGCTCGGGCCCATACAAAAACCCTAATCTATAAAATACTGATAAATAATAATAATAATTAACTACTAAATAATAATATAAGTAATTAAAATATTCTAATTAACTATCCGTATCAGTTTTTTTCCAAACTTGGATTTAGGTTCCAAATTTCCAATATATGTTTCTTTTCAAATTTCAAATTTAATTTCCAGGTCGGTTTGTTTCCAAATTTCTGGCGTATAATTTGTTTCCAATTTTCGAATTTAATTTTACTAAATTTGAATACTTCTTGATTTTTTTACTTATAAATCTTGAATTTTTGGCCACCCATCGCGTTTAATATTGTAAAAATTTAGGAATTTTTACCAGAAAAAAAATTAAAAATCCATTTTTCAAAGCAACGGGCAATGTACATTCACGGACTGTAGCATGGATAGTACTCCCCTTCTTAAGCCATTATTTTTTTCTTCCCTTCTGACGCAATTCATACGCCATTTACTTACTGACATGACTATTCATCCTCTATCAAAAATCAATCCAAGGAGCTAGTGCTGGAGAATCATGGTTCGTGTCATAAGGCTATATACTCTACCCGTGTTTACTGATGAGAAGACCACAAATTCAATTGAGACGGTGTTCATGGATGAACATGTAAGACAAACTTCAACTCATAATATTGCGTACGATTCATATTATATGTATGTACAGAATTGTTGAATTTTATTGATTTTTTTGTAATTGCTTTGTGTACATACTGAGTTATTGACTTTTATTGTTGTTTTATATTCATGTTTTGCAATTGCTTTATGTACATACTGGGTTGTTAACTTCTACAATTACATGCTACTATTTTAGCCTGTGACTTTGAATTATGAAAGCTATTATGTTGATAAATAACCCATTATTGATTTATAGACTACACATAAGTTAATTAAGAATAGGATTTGATAGACTTGATGTAGAAACAAACAAGTATTCTGTTTTGTTCCTGCATATTTTCACATAAGACTATGCATATTCTGTCTGTTTGTTAGAAACAAACTAAATTTTCCTCAATACTCCGCATACTCTGTTTGGAAAGATGAACTCCATATTTTCACATATTTTCACAGAACAAATATGTTATCATTATGAGTATTCTGTTTGTTTTTTCCTACCCATAGGAATTCAATTCCTTGCTCATACTTGAAATGATAACACATTTGAAATGATAACAAACAAGTATTCTGTTTGTTTTTTCCTGCCCATAGGAATTCAACTCCTTGCCCATCCTGCATTTATTCTGTGAAAATAATAACATGAAATTATTACAGAGGCCATATCTTCTTCAATCACACACAGATCTCTCAACCAATGCATATGCTTACTGGCCTCCACAAATTGCCCAGTCCTTATAATAAAGTGAACAAATAGAAAGGTATTTGGGGGAGCTTGAAAGAGACATCCTTAAAAAAAAATTGAATACACATAAGCTCTCAAACCCCCCACCCCCAAAAAAACCCAAACCCTAAAATGGATCAAAACCTGCATTTATGCCATCAAGTAAGAGCAAAGATGAATGCCCCCAAGATTGCATTTTTTCCCCATCTCTGTAACTTTAACATGGAAAGAGAAATGATTTCCAAACTGTGATTACTTTAAGGTAGGGGTGGGTAGAAGCCGTAGAACAGAACACATTGAAAAATCAAGCTGGGGTTAGTCAACGAACATGATAACCACGTAGTATAAATATGTCAAAGATAAACAAAAGTAGTGACCAATTTTCAATCCGAGACTAATGTTGTACTCCGTAAAATGTAAAAACTAGGAGAAGTATTTTGGCCCAACATGATCATCCTCTTTCCGTCTGTGTAAGTTTTTTTTAAAAAAAAGAAATTTACATAAATAGCACTAAAATATAATGACTTTCGCTAAATAACATCATATGTGTTTTTTCCGAATGTAGCACTTTTAATCATTATCCATTAGTTATTATTCAAGTAAAATTTACTCTCACTGAACATTATGGACATTATTAAGTGTTCTTTAAGGAATAAAACAATTTAAGTGCTATTTAGAGAAATGACTTAAATTTTAGAGCTATTTAATACAAATATTTCATAAGAAAATGTTATTAAACTATTATATTTTTTCAAAAATGTCATCATCTTGTTTTTGTTATAGAAATTTCCCACTAAAATATAGAAAAAAATATCAAAATAGGAGTTCCATGTTTTTATTCCCGAAATAAGACTTCGCACTGTGGTAATATGGTTGTAATGTGGCACTGTACATGTGCACATTACTATATTTTTTGGTAATTTACATGACCATATTTGGTAATATAAATACATTTTAACTCCTATTTCGAGAATAAAAATATGAAAGTCCTATTTTAGTATATTTTCAATTTTTACTCTTACTTTAGTCCTTTTTCTTTTTTGTTACTAAATTGTCATTTATTTTTCCATTACCTATTAAAAATGTCACCGTCTTAACTTGAAACCTGTTAGTGCATATTTAAACAAAAAGAAATATGCGACTAAACTATTTTTTTGGTAAAACTGTCACTCTTTGTTTTTTATTTTAAATCAATTTTTTAAATCTATTTTATTGGCTATCTTTTTCTATCCCAACAAAGTTGTTTCTTTTAAATTTTATTAAGAATTTAATTTTTTTAATCAAAATTTGTTATGCATGATATTGTTTTCATTTGATATTTCTTTTTATAATTAAATAACGAATTGACTAATAAATTATAAGAACTAGAGTGAAAATATTCCCAATATTCCAAAATATTTTTCATGTTTTACATTTTTTAATCAAAGTAGATGATTTTTAATACGGAGTAGTTAAGTACAAAAAACTGCATAACATATTAATAAAATGAAATAAATTTTCAGATATTTTGTGAACAAATATACAATTCAGCTTTTATTTATATATAATCAAAATTTGTATGTTGCACAAGTTAAATGCTAGTAATGACATTTTTAGTGAATGGAAAGAATAAAAAAAGAATAAATTTGTTGAAAAGGTAAAGAAAACTCTTATAGAAAAAAAAACTCGAGACAAAATATAAACTTAAAAAGAAATTTTTTAACTAATTGCATAAAGACATTAGAGTAATAACTTTATACTCTCTCTATCCTAATATATTCATTCAGTTTGACCTTTTCAATTTGAATTAAACAAACTTTAATAATCAATAACTATTGATAAATCTAATAAGAAAATTACTTTTATAATAATATACATTATAATTTTTATTTAATTGATGTCTAAAGTTCATCCAGATTGACTAAAGAAAGTCAAAGTCTACAAAGGTAATATTTTAAATAGAATCTTCTCTCATATTTAGAAATAAAAAATCTTCTCTCATATTTAGAAATAAAAAATGTAATACTTTTGAAACAAATAGTTTAGTTCCATCTATTAAATTTTTTGTTTTAACCTGCACTAGTAGGTTACTTAAACACTTTTTACAGGTAATAAAAAGTTTAGTGGCAATATAGTAACAAAATAAAACATAATGGTATTTTTGACAAAATATAATAATTCGGTGGCATTTTTGTAACTACACTCCTCTTGTAAAATAACATAAGACTTCTTTCAAATCAATAGAAACGGTTTTAACATCAAGACTTTTTGAATTATTACACATTAATTTATTTGGGCCTGTAGACGTATAAAGCCTAGGTGGAACTAGTTTCATTTTTCGTAATTGTAGGTGATTTATTTCGTTATACTTGAGCTATATTACTTGCCAATAAATATGATGTGTCTAATGCGTTTGTTAAATTGTGCAAGAAAATTCAAAACGAGAAAAGATAACCAATTGCTTCAATCAAAAAAATGATAAAAGGGGCAAATATAGAAATTCCAAATTTGAACTATATTTGATGAGCATGAATTTCACAACTTCTCGGCTCCAAGAATACCTCATCAAAATGGAGTTGTTAAAAGAAAGAATAGAGAGGGGTTGGGTTACCAGTATCAATAACAATTAATTAAGTTATACAGTTTGGAGTATGAATAGCTGAATGAATTAGAATTAGATCATTGGTAGTGAGGTGTTAGATTACCAGTATTGGTTACGAACATCCAGATGAATTGGATCATTGATAAAGAGGAGGCACTACAAGAATCTGTCAAAACTGTAACGGAAATCTGCTACGGAGCAACGGTTGTCGTAGATTTGTGACGGAACTACAATGGAGTTTGGAATATCTAAAAATTAATTAAAAATTGTGACGGAGTGGGTGACTACGAGCGGTTTGCAAATTTGTTGTGTTATTTTAGGCTCGATTGTTGCTCTTCGCGATGAGGCTATAAAGAATGGGCTTGATGTCACCAATGACCAAATCTGGAACTCGCTAGTTCAGGGCCACAATACGAAGAATCGTGTGCCAGGAGGCAGAGACTACGAGCGTAAAATGAGAAAGTTGAAGCCATCATCCACCCATCGCCGCTCTAGCTCCTCTGCCATAAAGAAAAGTGAAACGGAGATCCTGAAAAAACAGAACAAACGCCTCCAAAAACAGGTTGAAGCCCTAGCCTCTAAGTTCACAATGATCCAATAAGATCTAAAAAAGTTGTATGGTAATAACAACCCTACTCGATGTTGGAAACAATCTCTTTATTATAACTGGAAAATAACTCAAAACCAATTACAATAAACTCTCATATGTTTCTCATATCATAACCCAAGCTTGGCTAAGATATATATAGAGCTAATTAAGCCTAAGACCCATAATTCTATTCCTACTCGAACTAGAATATCTCGGGTGATCCTAATCCAACTAGGTAATTAGCCTTCATTCACCCCCCTAATTTCCAAGTTGGATTTTGGGTGATCTTCAACTCCAAGCATGTCTTCTTTATCTTGATTCTCCCGAGGCTCTTCATGATCCCTTGCAGTGTTCTTTGGGCTCCACTTAGCCTGAACAAACACTTGCTCCTTGCGATCATTACACGTCCTTCCTTGGGTTAGAATCCTTTTCTTGACATATCCTTTAAACTCTTGAACATTCTTCTTTGGACTTTGAATTTTGGGTTTCTCCATTAAACTAGGATCTCCGAGAAGATTCTGACTTGTACTTCGCGTACCTTCTTTCAGTTGATCAACTCTTTGTAGATCCCTACCCACAAAATTCTTCATTCCAATCATGCTAACTTGTGTACTGGGACTTGTTATCTTGAGATTGATCTTGTACAAACGATTCTTGGTCCTTGTCACCTTCATCATAAGCTTCCCCGTGTCATCATGAATGGTTAGCAAATCACACTTCATGTGAATGTCGCATCCACCTTCCGTTGCTTGACCAAGGCTTATGATGTTGCTTTGTAGGCTGGGTATGTAGTACACATCGATCAACAAGCGCTGCTCCCCTGTTTTCCCTTCAAGTAATACAGAACCCTTTCCTCGTATGTCAATACAAGATCCATCTCCAAACTTCACCTTTCCCGTGACACGTTCATTAAGTTCAAAGAAGTAAGCTTGATTACCGGTCATGTGATTCGATGCTCCGTTGTCGAGATACCAAATATCTTTCTCCTTTGGTTCAACCTCGAAACGCTTNTCATCATCATCCTGGTCTTGGTCTCTTCCTCGACCTTGGTTGCATCGGCTTTGTCCTCTCGATCCGTTTTCTCCCCTTTGAGAATGAGAGCTTTCACCATTGGAGAATAATAGTTTACTCTGTGTTTCTATATCTTCTTCCTTGATTCGCTCTTCGTAAGCTTTCAACCGGCCTATGGTTTCTTGAAATCCTAGTTTATTCAAATCTAGAACTTGTTCCAACGAGGCGACTATATGAATGTATTTCGAACGAGGAAGAGACTTTAGAAACTTCTTTACCATCTTTTTCTCTTCGATCTCTTCTCCAAGGGCTACGGATTTTGAGGCCAAACTTGATAACTTCTCAGCAAATTCATCAATTGACTCTGAATAATGCATCTTCAAATTATCAAATTCCGCATTTAGGGTTTGGAGACGAGCTTCTCTAACCCTCTCAGCCCCCAAGTGACGAGTTTTGATTGCATCCCACAGATCCTTCGCAGTCTTCTCATTGCCTACTTGCAATATCAGATTTTCTGGAATTGATTGAAACAACAGTGCAGTTGCCATATCATTCTTCTCGGCATCAGCTGTGCCTCCTGGTTCAATCGTTTCCCACACTTTATGAACCCTTAAAACGACTTTCATTCTCATGGCCCATACGGTGTAGTTCGTAGCGTTTAGCATGGGACATTGGACAGCTGTAAGTCCAACTCCCTTAACCTTTGGTGTTTCGGATTCTGTCATATTTTTCTTGCGTCGATTGTACGTCAAGAGTGGTGTGACCGGATCCCGTACTTGAGTTTAGAGTAATTCAATTAAACCCTTTTGTCTACTAAACATACAACAGTGGCTTCCCTCTTGTTGTTGCGCGAGAATTCCTTCACGGTCTTCAACAACAGAATTGGGCGGCAGCCCAATCTAGATGGCGGCGGCAATCTGCACAGCGGTGCGATCTGGACGGCGGTACTGTGTGGATTACAGCGGCGGCGAGACCTGGCCTGTGGCGACTGGATGCGGCGGCGCACCGGATCAGCAGCTGCGATCTCCTCGAACCAGCGGCGTCAATCTGAGGACGACGACGACTCCTCAACACGGCGCGGCTCCTCAACTCGGCGGCGGCGGCAAGTTCAATCTCGGATCCGGACAGCTGCGACGGCGGCTCCAACCCTAGGCTCGGATCGGCACGCCTGCGACGGTGGTGACAAGTTTTTTTTCTTTCAATTTGTTGTTGAACAATCTAGCTCTGATACCAATTGTTGGAAACAATCTCTTTATTATAACTGGAAAATAACTCAAAACCAATTACAATAAACTCTCATATGTTTCTCATATCATAACCCAAGCTTGGCTAAGATATATATAGAGCTAATTAAGCCTAAGACCCATAATTCTATTCCTACTCGAACTAGAATATCTCGGGTGATCCTAATCCAACTAGGTAATTAGCCTTCACTCGAGACGATGACGGAGCGGAGGGATCACGGCAACTAGAGGCTATTTGTTAGAGTATTTGAATTAAGAATCTTTGACTTTAATGACTTTTATGCATGCATCACATTAACTTAAATAATTGTATTTCTTTTACTTTACGATGTGAAATTTGTTTGAAGCTTAAATTTAAAACTTGTTTGTGGTTTTATTTAGGATGTGTTTTTGGTTATTGCACCCCTTGTCCTGTGTTTTGGTTATTGCACCCCCATTCTGGTTTTTGAAAAGCTGCAGATTAGCCAAAAAACCAGGTCCTGATTCTGCATATCACCTCTACGATGGATTTGCGATAGATTTACAAGTCCTTCGCAGTCCTTTGCAGACATAAAGTACTGTAGCTTGAAGTATCCTTTCACAATTTCTATCGCAAATCTGCGATGGAAGTGGTGAGCCATCGTAGATAAATTCAGATTTCTTAGCCTCCAGTTCCATCGCAGATCTGCGACGGATATGTTTTTCCGTCGTAGATTACAACCTGGTGATAGTGAATTTGCGACAACGCTTTACTATCATAGTTCCATAGCAAATATAGAATCTGCTACAATTTTCTCAAATCAGCGATGGGAATTAGCTGTCGCAAATTTGGCAGATTCTTGTAGTGAGGTGGATTACGAGTATCGGTAACAATTAAGTTATACAATCCGGAGTACGAATATCTGGATGAATTGGATCATTGATAGTGAGGAGTTGGGTTACCAGTACCGAAACAATTAAATTATACAATCTAGAGTACGAGTATAGGGATGAAATAAGTCATTGATAGTGAGGATTTGGGTTACTAGTACCTGTAACAATTAAGTTATACAATTCGAAGTATGAATATCTATATGAATTAGATCATTAATAATGAAGAGTTGGGTTGCCAGTAGTGGTAACAATTAAGTTATACGGTCTGGTGTACGAGTATGTGGATGAATTGGATCATTGATAGTGAGGAGTTGAGTTACTAGTACTAAAAAAATAATTTATACAGTCCGGAGTACGAGTATCTAATGAATTGGGTCATTGATAGTGAAGAGTTGGGTTACCCATACTGGTAACAATTAAGTTATACGGTCCGGAGTAAGAGTATCCAGATGAATTGGGTCATTGATAGTGAAGAGTTGGGTTACCCATACTGGTAACAATTAAGCTATACGGTCCGGAGTAAGAGTATCCAGATGAATTGGATCATTCATAATGAGGAGTTGGGTCACCAATGTCGGTAAAAATTAAGTCATACGGTTCGGAGTATGAGGATCCGGTTGAATTGGGTCATTGATAGTGAAGAGTTGGGTTACCAGGATCGGTAACAATTAAGTTATATGGTTTAGAGTACGAGTATTCGGATGAATTGGGTCATTGATAATGAGGAGTTTGTTTACCATTAGTGGTAACAATTAAGTTATATGGTCTAGAGTACAATTATCTAACTGAATTAGATCATTGATAGCGAGGAGTTGGATTGCCAATACCAGTAACAATCTATATCTATATACTATTTAAAAGCAGGGGAAATTAGATTTTTATTTTCCCGCCCAAAGTGACATGCCCAAATCACCGTTGATTGGCACGTGATATGCAATCCACAGTTGATAATAACTCATGATTAATTAGCTTAATACGGAGTATTATATTTAAACACTTAAATTGACCTCATTTATGGAATTGAATGGAAGCCTACATATATGGAATAATACTCCATTTAATTGGGCAAGTATTAAATTATATGGAAACATATAAACTGATTCATTAATGGGACGAAAATATTATTACTATTAGTATTAATATACATGGAAATAGAAATATAATATAAAAATTGAATTCCACTTACTTGGTATTAAAAAACGAGTAGTATTTTTATTATATATATATATAAAATTTACCATACAAAAAAATTTAACAGGTGTGACATTCCTATTGGCGATACTACTAAATTTGAGAACACTCTTGACATATATAATTCAGTCATTCCAAATTTGAGTTAAAATTTCAATTATAATTTAGTTTTTAGGCATAATAAAATGTTCAAAATAGATATAAATTTTAGTTCAACACTCATATAAATATAAAATAAATTTAATGGGATGAAAATGTAAATTTGATTTTCAGTAATAATAATAATAATAATAATAATAATAATAATCTATACTTTATTTAATTATTTTGCCTAAATTGTTTTCTTCCATTTTAAGTATGTTTTCATTTTTATTTAAATGCTACGCCATTTAGGTATTTAAATTAAATTAAATTAAAAATGGTAAGTGTTATCAAATAAATTAAAAAATAAATATGGTACAATAAATAAATGGTACCATTTAAATACAAAAATAAAAAATTATAAATTAATAATATAAGCATGGAAATGTGTAACAATGGTAAATGTTCTAAAATTAATACTATTAATATTATAATTTACAAGCATGGACATGTGTAAATATAGTAAATATTCTAAAGTAAAATAGAAAATAAATACCGTAGGGTAAGTAAATGGTACCATTTAAATATGAAAATAAAATTAAAAACTCTAAATTCCAAAATAAATGTATTAATATGTTGAATAATTGCCAAATAAGTCAAATTATTGAATTATTGTTAGGGACGATATCTGAAACATGTTGAATCATTGTTACGAAAACCAGTATTTAGTCATGGGCAACTGTATGTTGCAGTTTCAAAACTAATAAATTGCAATGTCTTTAAAATTTTGATATACAATGAAGAGAATGTTCACACAAAGTATACGAGTAATGTAGTTTATAAAGAAGCCTTTAAAAATTTGCAAATCATTTAACTAACTTTTGTACTTTAGAGTAATGAAATATCTATATTCCATTATATACCAATTTAAATTCTTAAAAAATGATATTAATTTAGTAACCTAATTATGACCCGTGTAACGCACGGGCGTGATACTAGTTAAGTTATAGGGTCTGGAATACGATTATCCAGATGTGTCATTGATAGTGAGGCATTGGATTATCAATACCGGTAACAATTAAGTTATATGATTTGGAGTACGAATATCCAGATGAATTGGATCATTGACAGTGAGAAGTTAGATTACCTATACTAATAATAATTAAGTTATAAGTTCCAGAGTATGAGTATCTTGATGAATAAGATCATCATAAATAGTATGGTAAAAGTCAAAAATAACAAAAAGAAAATTAATAGTATAAACACATGGAGAAAAAAGGTCACTTTATGTGAGGTTTAATCAGAAGTACCATCAAAATTTTAAATATTCGAAGGAATTTGATTAGTAGTACAATTCCGTACGGATTGAAGATATACAAAATTAAAAATTGAAAGAATAAAAGGATACTTTAATCAACAACTATGGCACTAGAAATATTAATTGTTGGTGGGTCCCTTTAATAAAGTTTTGGTTTTATTTTTATGGGATTTAAAATGAAAATTTTTGAAGGGTCATGTTTTTTACGATGTCTCATGATTCTCATCTTCTTCGCTTCCTTATCTTCCTTCCTTGGCCGCTTCTCCTTCTCTCATTGTTTATTGCTCAAATTTCTTCCTTCAGATCCTGCTTAATTTTGTAGGTGATTTCATTGATGTGCTTAAGGGGATTTTTGCAACTGACACGGTAAGAAGTAACTGAAATTTATATTCATGCGTCTATTAACACATGCATGCTTGTATTAAAGTACGATTTCATGATAAAAATTATTTATAGGTGATTGGTTCTCGCTACAATATCATCTCAGTTACAATGTTTTTTTGAGGGAAAAATACAACTAAAATAAGATTTCTATATTTTGTCTCAAAATAGGAGTTACAAATGTTAGCATATAATACAAAAAACATTATCAAATGGCAATATACAATACAACAATGTCACAGTGTAAGCTCCTATTATGAGAAAAAAATATGAACTCTTGTTTTGGTGATAAGAGTTACCTGTATGTTTTACTCCTGTTTGAAGTTATTTTTTTAAAACATTGATTCATTTATGTACTTTTATTAATTAAAAGGTTAAATATGTTTTTTCGCTCTGTGAAATAGGCAAGTTTTGTTTTTGGTTCCAGTGAAATATTTTTTATTAAAGTCAACCTTACAAAATTTTAATTTTGAAAATAGTCCTTAAAAAGAATTATCACTTCTAATTAGATGAGATATCAAATTTATTTCATACTCAAGATTTTAGGCTGCATTCCCTATGTCTGATCTTATCTGATTTTTTAATGATCAGGTCTAATCTGATCTTGTTTGATCTGATTATAGTTATAATTAAAGTTATTTTTGATCTAATGTGAACTGGTCGATCTAATTATAATAAGAATAAATAAGAAATCGAAAAAATAAGTTGAACGGAACGTAGCTTTAGTTTTGCAATTCTAATTACATCTGATACAATTTCCAAGTCCTAAATAATGTACTTATTCATATTGCATCATCAATTTTTAAACTTCTTAGGAGAATAATATAATAAAGATTTGGGAATTGAGTATATTTGGTAAAGAATACAATTTAGGACATGAGAATTATGTCTAAAGTAATTAAAAGTGCAAAAGTAAGCTGCTGAATACGAAATAAATATGTTACATAAACAATTAAAACTCGTCTATTTAACATGGACTAAAAACATATTTAGCAATAAAATAAATTTTTTTTTTGAACAAAGCACAAAATATATTAACTCCAAAGATCAGTTTCCAGTACAACAAAAGAGAAACACACAACAACAAGAATCAGCACCTAACGACAGCATCCAACACTAAAACAGTTACTAGCTACCCATTATAATATTGAAATGGTCCTTGATAGTCTTCAGCGTGTCCACCACAATCATCTCCTTGTTGTGAAATGGTCCTCTGTCCTAGCTCACCAATGGAAGTAGC